ATTTCATAGGGTTTTTTTTAGTGAAGGAATACTCAGAGGTGGTTTTGCCTGTTTCTTCTTGTGAAAGATAGCCTTCAGCACCTGGTCTTCATTGGTGGATTCCCATCCAAGAACTAACCAAGGCCGATCCTGCTTAGCTCCCAAGATCAAATGGATCTGATACCTCTAGGGTATTTAGGCATGACTGTATATAACCATAAAAATATAGATCTCACTGATTTCAATAGGACTTGCTTACAAAGTAAGTAGTGTTAGTATTTCAACCTCAAGCAAAAACTGACTATCAGGGACCAATGTGTCACCTACTTAATATGGCATATGTTCAGAGAGAAGCATGTCAATCAAATTATTTAAATTAAGTAACTACATACCCAGAAGCTATTACTGTATTTGGATTATAAAGCCAGCTTGCCATACCACACATGAGTGTCTGCAGCACTGTTTCCAAGGTGGTGGTACTGAGGAGTTGCATGGCTGCAGAGTGTTATACATGGTTGTAGTCTCTGTACTACAATCACATAACACTGCTGTATGTATCTATATATGTGTGAGTGCACATGCACACTGCTGCTTTGTTTCTTAGAATCATATTCAATTATATTTAAAAGCCTACCCAGTGTGACAGAAAATCCAAGGAATGTGATTGTTGTAGTGGTTAATTGCCATCAGGTCAGCTTTGACTTCTGGCAACTTTATGAATGAGAGACCTTCAAGATACCCTGCTATTACCAACTCAGGTCTTGCAAACTCAGGGCCATGATGTCATTGGTCTATCCACTTGTAATGCAGTCTACCTCTTTTTCAACTGTCTTCCACCTTATTTTATATCCCTCTTTTCTCCCAGGACAGGACTTAAGCATTATCATATTTTTAAATTACTCATGTCATCTCATGATATGTCCAAAGTACAACAGCAGAAGAGAGTTACAGACAAGCTCCATACAAAAGGCATCATGGACTTCAGCAAAATTTTATTTGGAGTGAAGGACATTTAAAAACAACATAGAAGGTATGAGAACCAAAGGCTGCTGCCATGCTGCAGAACTGATGCAATTTGACACTGTTTTAATTGTCATGGCTCCATCCTATGGAATCCTGGGAGTTGTAGTTTGTTGTAGCACCAGTGCTCTCTGACAGAGAAGGCTAAATGTCTCGCAAAACTACATATTCCAGTATTCCATAGCATTGAGCCATGGCAGTTAAAGCAGTGTCAAGCTGCATTAACGCTGCAGTATAGATGCAGCCCAAGGCACAAAAAAGTATGACTATCTTAAAAATAAGATGTGAATTATTATGAATTAATATGCGAATTTGGTTAATTTCTGGGGCGTGCATGTACACACACACATGCACACACACACGCACACTTTATCACCACAGTTGACTTCATGTGATATGAAAAGGGTCCCATGTTCTACAAAGATTCCCTTCATCTTTGAAGTTCTGGTGAACATTCTGTAGAGAGTAGTGATGGAGTCTACTCAGAAACAGAACAAATGGCTATGCTTCATCAGGGTTCTAGAGCATCCTCTGCCATTTCTGTTACTTTTCACATTGTTGTGAGCCACTTTCTCTTAGGTAATATAATACTCCTGCACTACCTTCAGTTCTGAACTGCATAAAGAGCCTTTTGGAATTACACCTGGTTTCCCATTTTAAAAATGTTTTTATTGGATTTCTATCCTGTCTCCCTATTAAAAATTGAGGTGGTGGTGGGTGGTTTCCTAATCACCGAGGATTGTGGCTCCCCTATCCATGGCACCATAAAACTGTTCCAGGTTTTAGTCCAAACCCATTATGAGTCTAAGGTTCTAAAGTTTAGAGATATCTTA